GGGAAATATTTAGTTTTCGACATACAGGATGTTAAAATTCCTGATTTTTTCAAACGCCTAAAGATAAACAAATGAAAATTTACACAAATATTCATTGATTCTTTATCTGTCAAAATGATAACAATGAATCGCCCCTCTCCTCCCTCCCCCACCCCCCCCCCCCCCCCCCCCCCCCCCACCCCCCCCCGAATGATTTTGGAGTCTTTTAAATATAAAAGAGAGAATGTTAATTGAACATTTATATTATTTAAAATACATTTTCAGAAATGTTTCCCTTTTTATGGGAACTTTTTTCCTTATTTTGAGGAGTTTTATAACCAGGACACCCTGTATGTTTCTAAAATGACGACACATTTGTTTTTCGCCCATCTGCTTTATCGTACCTTGAATATTTAATGTCTATCGGTATATTTTAAGCAGAATTACAGAAATTATGAAGACTTAATTGACAATTGTGAAACAAATTATAATAAATGATTCGAATAAGTTTCGAAATGAAAGAGGTATGTCAAAGATTAATTAGAACCGCCAGTTATTTTAAACGATGATGGTTTTTGTCAAGTATTTGTCGCTAATTTATTATTATTTTACAATGTAACCACGACCGAATAAACGTTTCTTTCTATCGATCAAACGCGAAAATGCTTGTTTAAAAATATTTTACCTAGGCGTGTGCAAATTTTTTACATTCCCGTTGGCGATATTTGAATAAGGTAACCTCGTTCAGAAAATAATGTCTAACTTCTACACACTGATTTTAAGAAATAAACTCAAAAAGTGTTATAGAGAGAACGTACCGCGATGCAGAAATATGAATGGGTGCATTTAGTATAATAAATATGTCATACAAGGCAATGATGAATCGAGGGAAGATACCGATGAAAGCCTATGTTCTTTTATGGTTGTCAACGTTTACCAGTATTTCCCCTTAGGTGCTCTATAAAATGTATTGACGCAAAACTCACTTTCATGTTGGGGACATTACTGAAAAAATTCATAAATACAAATTCGCATTTTTTCATCAAAAAACCCAAATACCTGTTTAACATTCCAAAATCAAACAAGAGAAATAATACACACTTTAATGTCACCGGTCTTGTCTGAAAGACTTTGAGCAGATGTCGTTACTGTTTGTTTTTCTATTTAATAACCGATATCCTTGGTAATTTATTAAAAATCCAAATACACTATAATAGTACAATAATAAAATCTATAATTAATTACCGTTCTTTAATACGTTGTCCTTTATTATTGAAATGACTATTAACTTATTGCCATTTTATAATAATAAGAACCAATAAAATATTACACATATTTCTTCCTTGACACACAAGAGCACGTACCTACATTTTATTAGAGCGTCTTCGTATTTCGAAAACTGTTAAGCTTGATCTCAAAGGCATAAAAATGTAATAAAATTAACTAAAGCAGAGCTATTCCGGTTTTGTGAGTTGAGTTCGTCTTGTCGAGCACAAATATTGACCTTTAGTTTCAAAATTAGTACAGCTTACAAAGAGGACTCGGAGAAAATACTAAATGTATTCGAAGGAAATTTCAAAAGCAGTTCTATATATTTTTGTCTTGGGGTGCTTAGATTTGGAAATACAAAGCGATATGAAAAATAAAAACGAAATTTAATATCTTTTTGGATTATTTCAATTTATTATTACTTTTTTCGATGAACTCTTTTCAATGCTCTTTTTTATATAAAAGAGGAATTCCGTACGCCACTGACTAAATTGATGGAACTAAATTTCTACCAATTAAAAGACCTTACACTTATCTTTCAATATTAATTTATTAGTTTTAAGGACTTTATACTGTATATAGAGTGGNTTCATCAAAAAACCCAAATACCTGTTTAACATTCCAAAATCAAACAAGAGAAATAATACACACTTTAATGTCACCGGTCTTGTCTGAAAGACTTTGAGCAGATGTCGTTACTGTTTGTTTTTCTATTTAATAACCGATATCCTTGGTAATTTATTAAAAATCCAAATACACTATAATAGTACAATAATAAAATCTATAATTAATTACCGTTCTTTAATACGTTGTCCTTTATTATTGAAATGACTATTAACTTATTGCCATTTTATAATAATAAGAACCAATAAAATATTACACATATTTCTTCCTTGACACACAAGAGCACGTACCTACATTTTATTAGAGCGTCTTCGTATTTCGAAAACTGTTAAGCTTGATCTCAAAGGCATAAAAATGTAATAAAATTAACTAAAGCAGAGCTATTCCGGTTTTGTGAGTTGAGTTCGTCTTGTCGAGCACAAATATTGACCTTTAGTTTCAAAATTAGTACAGCTTACAAAGAGGACTCGGAGAAAATACTAAATGTATTCGAAGGAAATTTCAAAAGCAGTTCTATATATTTTTGTCTTGGGGTGCTTAGATTTGGAAATACAAAGCGATATGAAAAATAAAAACGAAATTTAATATCTTTTTGGATTATTTCAATTTATTATTACTTTTTTCGATGAACTCTTTTCAATGCTCTTTTTTATATAAAAGAGGAATTCCGTACGCCACTGACTAAATTGATGGAACTAAATTTCTACCAATTAAAAGACCTTACACTTATCTTTCAATATTAATTTATTAGTTTTAAGGACTTTATACTGTATATAGAGTGGTTCAAAAACAAAATATTAATGGTTGAAAACTTGTCTTAACAAGTTATAGAAATGCTTATATTAGTTTAAATGGTCTTTGCACAATTAATAGCAGCTGTTCGTAAATACAAAGAAATGGTGCGTCTCTACCAACTTTAACACAATCTACCTTAATTTGTGATTCAAATGTAGAAAACTTATTATAAAAAAATCTATAACTATTATATTAAGAATAAAAACCAAATTTAATATGTTTTTGGACAATTTCAATTTATTATTACTTTTTCAAAAGAACTCTTTTCAGTACTCTTTTTATATAAAGGAGGAATTCCGTACACCACTGACTAAACTGATGGAACTAAATTTCTACTAATTAAAAGACCTTACACTTACCTTTAATATTAATTTATTCGTTTTCAGAACTCTATACTGTATATAGAGTAGTTCAAAAACAAAATATTAATGGTTGAAAACTTGTCTTAACAAGTTATAGAAATGCTTACATTAGTTTAAATGGTCTTTGCACAATTAATAGCAGCTGTTCGTAAATACAAAGAAATGGTGCGTCTCTACCAACTTTAACACAATCTACCTTAATCTTTGATTCAAATGTAGAAAGCTTATTATAAAAAAATCTATAACTATTATATTAAGAATAAAAACCAAATTTAATATGTTTTTGGACAATTTCAATTTATTATTACTTTTTCAAAAGAACTCTTTTCAGTACTCTTTTTATATAAAGGAGGAATTCCGTACACCACTGACTAAACTGATGGAACTAAATTTCTACTAATTAAAAGACCTTACACTTACCTTTAATATTAATTTATTCGTTTTCAGAACTCTATACTGTATATAGAGTAGTTCAAAAATAAAATATTAATGGTTGAAAACTTGTCTTAACAAGTTATAGAAATGCCTACATTAGTTTAAATGGTCCTTGCACAATTAATAGCAGCTGTTCGTAAATACAAAGAAATGGTGCGTCTCTACAACTTTAACACGATCTAATTTAATCGGTAATTTAAATTTAGAAAGTTTATTATAAAAATCTATAAATTTTATACTAAAAGATATTTCAAGTTAATTGTCACTAATCGTTCAATAGTGTACCACACTGTATATCAAGTGGTTCGAAAAGTAAAAATCAATGGTTGAACACTTGTATTAACAAGGCATCTATTGAATCAATTGTAGAAACAGAGTTTTAAAACAAACATATTAGTTTGCATGATCCTTTAACATTTAATAGCAGCTGTCCGTAAATATAAAGAACAGCTGCGCCTCTGCATTTGCAACAATGTTCTGGTTCTTAGTCGGACACACTATATAGAAAAATATGTCAACGGTTGAAAACTTAAGTAACTTTTTGATGCAATTACAGAAACAGGATTTCAAAACATACGAATATACATTGGTTTGAAAGATCCTGGCATTGTTATTAGCAGCTGTCCGAAGATATAATGAACAAGTTTTAGTGAACAAGTTTTAGTGTATATACAGTGGTTCACAATCAAAGTCTGTGGTTGAAAATTTAATTCACAATTCACTTTTTGATGTAGTTTGTAGAAACAGAATTTTAAAACATACGAGTATACATGATTTGAATGATATTTGCAATTATTAGCAGCTGTCCGCAAACATAATGAACGGGTGCGTCTCTGAAAGTTGGGCATAATCTAATTTACTCTGCATTTTAATTTTAGAAGGCTTATTATCAAAATATCTGCAACTCTGGCACTGAACAACAGTCGAAGATATTTCGAGTGAATTCAATCAATATCATAATTAGAACAGTGAGCTACACTGTATATCAGGTGGTTCAAAAACGAAAAGTTAATTGTTACAAACTTGTATTAACAAGTCGCCTGAGATTGTAAAAACAGAATTTAAAACATTAGTTTGAATGATGCTTTCACGCGTATTAGCAGCTGTCCGCAACCGTAAAGAACAGCTGCACCTCTGAAAGTCGAAATTGAAACGGTGTTCTGGTTCTTAGTCGGACACACTGTATATAGAGTAGTGCAAAAACAAAAAGTCAATGGTTAAACTTCGTATTAATAATTCACCCTTTGATGTAGTTGTAGAAACAGCGTTTTAGAACATATAAATTAGTTTGAATGATCCCTTCACACTTATTAGCAGCTGTCCGTAAATATAAAGAACAGCTGCGCCTCTAAAAGTCGAACATAATCTAATTTAATCTGCAATTTAGCATTTTCAAAAAAAAAAAATCTGTAATTCTTGACACTGAAAAATACTGTATATGTTTCGAGTTAGTTATTAAAAATGTATATAGAGTGTTGTCCAAAACCAAAAAATATAGTGGCAAAATGTTAATAAATTCTGTATCTTTTGTTTCAGAGAAACAAGTATGGTGGAAGAAGAGGGACGTCTCCGTGAGGCTGAAATTTCCAATAACAGCTACGCATCAAGTGGAAGTAGAAAATGCCCAGCTGAGAATCCTGGCACCACCCCAAGCGCAAGGGCCTACCACCGTGAGGGTGCAGGTGAACCAACTCCTTGGCGGAAGACGAAAAAAACTGCTCGAAGAGCGAACATTTTACCTTTCTAAAAACTTTACGAAATGGTGCGAGGTGGACGTTACCAGTGCGGTGCAATCGTGGTTGAGCGGGGACATTAATCTAGGTTTAGAATTAGTTTGTTTAGACTGTGAAAGTAGTTTAAGTCCATATCAAGCTGCTATAACTTCTCTAATCTATCCTGACATTAGACGTGTTCGTCGGTCATCTCCATACCAAAGCGAGCGAAGAACTGACTGCCAGAAGGGCAAACGCCAAAAGAGGAAATGCTGCAGACAAAACATGAAAGTTAACTTTACTAAACTCGAATTCCCTGAAATGAATTTCATAGTCGAACCTAAGATCTACGAGGCTGGGTACTGCCACGGCCTGTGCCCTCCTAACTACAATCATGCGACGAACCACTCCAGAATTCAAAGTCTCATGCATCAGATGGAGAGAAAAAATGCCAAAATAGCTAATAGAAAAATTATACCAAAAGCATGTTGTGCCCCTTCGAAACTAGGACCATTAGAAATATTATTAATCAACAAAGACGATCCTACTAAATTGTTACTAGAGAAGTGGGACAATATGGTAGTTATAGAGTGTGCATGTTCCTAGTAGTGTATTAAGATTCTTTGTTAATTATTGTACGGGTAGAACTGAGCATTTCTACATTTTTACTGTGATATAATTTAATCATTTATTTTTCATTGCATGTAGTAATCTGAAAGTATTATTTTCTATTCATTTTTATATAATGTTTAATTTTATATGAACTGTTTTATATCATCCTCTCTTATTTTGTTAAATAAAGGATTTTTTTATTAAATTTCTAATTCTCTAATTTGTCCCAACGCCCAAACTGTTATACCATGAGTAAAACTATTAATCATATATACAGGGTGTTTCTGAAACATAGCACCAAACTGAATCAATAAATTCCTGTAAATATGGATCCAAAAATACTTACTAAACATTACAGTGTTATAAATATACACTACCAAAAATATTTTTTTAAATAACTCAAAAATTATGAACTCCAAATAAGCATGGTAAAAATAAATGGTTGTGTAGAAATAGATTTTTCACATTCACATCGATAGAGATACATGGCATTATTTTGAAGTTTTTGGAAGGCATTGATACTAAATCTACTCTTTCCCTGATATGTGTCTTTTAATTAACTCCCAAGCATCACTAGGCCTTAAATAAAGCATAATAGGATTCCATCTCCATTTTTTAAATTAATTTATATTTATTTTAATTCAATGTAACATTAAAATTTGGAAACAGTCCATGACACTTATGATTTTCGCAATCTTCCATCGCCAAAATGATTTGTTTTATTCTTTTTTACAAATTTTGTCGAAAATAGTACAGATTTCGATATCCCGAACAAGATCACGTTTCTCACCTTAACAGATTTTTTAACAAAAAAAAATGCTGCAAGTTATCGATCTCGATAATTGAAAGACTTGTATCGAATTTCATTTAGATTTGATAAACTATTATCAAATTATTTAAAAAAATGTGTTTTGTCAGTACATATTTTATCACCCCGTAACATTATTATCTACCGTTTTCGAAACCACATTTATAAGAATCTTTTTGCTTAAACTGACATTCCCTATCTCCTGTTTCAATTTGGTGCTATATGTAAGAAACGCGCTGTATATAAGAAATAAGACAGCATACTCTTTTAAATTGATTGAAATCCAAAGAAGAAATTTCAATGAAGCAGAACATCGCATGCAATATGTTGCATGATGGAGCATTCAACATTATAGAAACTGGTTTTTCAGTTAAATTTTTATTAAATTTAATTAAAGTAAATTAATAGCAACTTAGCAACTTGAAGTAGATAACAACTAAGTTGATATAACTGTTTTGTTCACAACTTACTTTGTGGCAAAAATAAAGTAGAAGAATATAAGATTTAACCACAAAAATAAACTTTCAGATCCAAGTGCACAAGAATGATTGTTTAGTGTTTTCTAAAATAATAAGTAATTGTATTACTAGAAATAATAATTTATGAATAAAATACAAAAGCTTGGGTAACAATAGGTAACCTCAATTATTGAAACCGTCGAGTAAATGTGACCACAATCACTACTAGCAGTCCATGTACAGGGCATTTTAATTAGAACGAGCCCTGTGCAACTCTACTGTGAAATAAAATAAACGCAAAGGTGGATTTACGAAGTTTTTTCTTAGTTTAAAGTACAGCTATTTATAAAAAATATACTGCCTTATCTTAAAGCTTGATTTGCTCACCGAGGAAAAGGGTTAAATCCCATTTTAAAGATCTTTGAATAAACTATTCAGCAGTTTTTCGATTCTTACAAAATCGCTTTCTATCGATATCTAATCTAAGATAATTTTAAAAAGTACTGAATGGAAGCGGCAATCGCAATATTGAGTAAAATATACTGTTTTTATAAATGCTTTATAACTTTTATTAGCAGCATGCACAATAGGTCTTAAAGCCTGAATGCTGCCAGTTGGGGATTGATCCATCTGCGATGCTTTTCGGAGCAGCAACCTCTGATATCATTGTTACTTTTATTATTGTTATTTTGTTGTAAATAACTGAATTTTCATTAAGAAAATAGGTGGCTTTAGAAATTTTATAAACTACGACATTATAATGCATGAAATCCATGTACTTACCCAGTTTTACCAGCAGTCTCAAGTTACATTCATAGGCCACTTGCCACTTGTTCCAACGGTATACCTACCTAAAGATAGAAACATATTATACAGCCATGAATTTGTCTATTAATTTTGTAAAAAGAAAATAAACTTTTTAATGTTATTAAGAGATGTAATATACATAAATTTTATTATATGTACATATATATTTATTTAGTTAGTTATTTATTTATTTATATACAGGTAATCTGGTATTTCTGTTTTTCTGTTGTTACTGTTTTTAGCAATAAGGTAAAAATGTTACCCTTTATTATTAAAAAATAAATAAAAAATCCGTTAGGGTAGGCAACCAGAAAAACAAAACGATGTAATATGTGTAGCATTACGTACTATTTCTATTTAAAAAAATATATTAGTAAAAATGATTTATCGTCATAGAATATGTATAAACGATATATGTGATATATAAATGGATCGATTAATTTAAAATCCAGGAAGAGTATAAAAAATTTAGGGTACGTTCCTAAAAACCTAGCTCTAGACAGGTTAAATATCATGCTAAACATTCATAAACTGAATTATATCTAAGTTTTGAGATGATCATAACTTTATATTAAGGCATATTTTGCTAATTTCAAAAACAGAATATACTTTTGAGAATGTCCTTTTGAACATATTTTTTTTTCTACATTTGGTATCACTGTCAGCAGGAAATTTGCGATTTACGTCTTAAAACACAAGTTCTTATTTCTGTCAATTTCTATTTGGTTAGTGACAGTTAATTTTTTTAGTTTGAATTATAATTATTTAATAAAATCAAACTAAAATTGTATTCCACCTAAAGCATCAGGGTAAGTGATAAAAAACTTTCGGTTTTTGTGTCATTTTTTTAAATGTTTTTTCATTGAAAAACCATTGTTCGTTTTTCTAGGTCTTAGGCCTTCTCCTACTTTTGCTTCAACCGACTTTTCATATTGAGAAAACGGTGGTGGTATGGTAAGGTGTGCTTGTTAACAAAAGGGCATATCTAAAGCTATGGACCAAGCAAGCAAAAGAAGGGGGCGGCCTTCACCCGATGCTGGAAACATGAAACCTATCGCATTTAACCTTGAGGAAGCTCTTGCGGTGGAAAACATCTACAGGCCCAATCTTTTAGTTATTCAAGAGGAACTACAGCCATGGGAGGTAACGGTTAGCGACCGAGACAGGGCGGTTAACATTCTTCGCTTACTGCGCATTTGGTTTGACGTTCCACACAATGTATTCTTCACCGCTGCGACATATCTCGATCTGTTCCTTTCCCGACTAAAGGTAAGTGTTTGAGAGTAACACGAATGATGAAATAGGTCAAAACTGTTTCTGTCATATTAATGATGCAATTCTTGCACATATATGTTTGTTCCTTTATTATTCAGAAAAATAATTTTTTAGAAATTTTTCAAATTTGATAATGCTGTAACTTTAAGCACCTGATTATATTTATTAGTTGATTATGAAAAATAAATATTTTTGAGATCCCAAGGTGGGCAACCCTTATTCTCCTTATTCTTATTTCGCAATTTCATTGGAAATTTTTTCATCCAAAAGACCTATTTGCGGGTCTAGAAATCACCTAAAAAACGGTGTGGATCCCATGCTTTTTTATAAAAATATAACCACTTCAGTTTTGACCAGCTGCCGCTGGTAGCAACATATGGCCCTGAGCTAACTAAAATATAACTTACTCAACCTACTTAATCAAATTGTCACCTTATTAAAAGAAAACTAGTAATGCCTTATATAGATTAATGAATTCTATTATGTTTGTTAAATAGGTGCAAGAAAAATACCTGAACTGTCTGACAGTCAGCTGTTTTTATGTTGCTGCGGAAAAGGAGGGATGCAATGTTGATGCAAATCAGCTTGTAGCGATTTCTAAAAATTTCTGCATGAATGACTTGAACAGAATGGTAAAAATTGTTAAAGAAAAATTGAAACTAGACAACAACGATCATAATCGAACAACAACCTGTGCCGATTTCCTCATCATATACCTAGAGGTTTTAGAATACATCATGTCACGCTGGATGGTTGGATATCGAGTCGACGAAGTTTTGAAAAAGGAACAACTCCTGACGAGATTGGAAATATTACTAGCTAACAACAGCTGTGCATTTTTCCGATCATCAGTTTTGGCTCTGGTGTTACTCAAATTTGAAATTGAAAAACTTTTGACTCAGGCTATTGCTAATAAGTCTATGCATTTAATAGGCGATTTGATCCAACTTCTTGGCATTCTTCGGGAACTTCAGTTTACATGCAAAGTAAGTGTCCCAATGTTTTATCCACAATTTTATGAAGTATCGCCAATAGGCTTGCATAAAATTTAGGGCTGTACAGAAACTAAAGATATGACCAAATTGTTTTTTTTTTAGCAATTATTAATAAGCAAAGATGTAAAAAATTATGTCAGGTCACAATTTTGGTGTTACAGTATTTGAACTCGGCAAAAAGAAAGGTTGTCCCTTAGGACAACTTAAGGTTGTTCCTTAATTGTTTGAATCTTATATTCACTTGATTATTTTCTCAATAACTTGTTAAAAGTTTAAAATCTACCGTTGCTTCAACACTGAATTATATATGTGAGAATTAGTCATTGCTACTCTACTAAATCAGTGCCATTAATATGTGAATTTAAAATGTGCACGTTAATATATTTTATTTTTTTTTATTTAATTGGGTATTTAAAAAAGTAAATACATACAGTAAATACGTTAATATTAAACTTTAAGCGAGATAATTTTTTTTTTTAGGGTTAATTAATACAATTCCCTAGAATACTAATCTTAAATATATTTTTTAATTTAATAGGCGAGTTATAATTTGTTTTTTAAACTGCAGTTAAACTCTTGCCTATATCACCACTGGGCAACTCCTAAACTTGGTTGTATATGCGTACCTATCAGTGTTGCTTTTCAGACCAATTCTATGAAACTAATGGAGTGACTGAGAGTAAAATTGCAGCAGAAAATAATTTTGTAACAACAGATTGCTTTTTTTGATATCAATGAAGCCAAAGCACCAAAAAAAGTTTGAAAGATTTATAATTTTTGCGTGATTAATTAAATTGTAATTAATATTAGTAGAGCCTTCATAAATGTTGACAAGTCATGTGACTACTACTGGTACCAGCTTTTCAATTTTAAGATACGGGACACGTTTTTTTATCGTATAAATTACTGAGAGAAAAAAAGCAGCGCCACAGGCGAAATATTTTAAATGTTCAAGATCAAAGTGTTTAAAATGCAAAAATTTTTAGTTGTGTCTACAATATTTTTGAAATGTAATGTTCACCAGAGGTTTAGATTTTGTAAATACAAAACATATATACAAAAAAAAAAATAAAATAATAACTTTATTATTAAAAACCAACAAAAAAACATACATAAGTAATTTGTAAAACATATTCGATCTTCAGTCTCGTCTAAATAATAAATAAATAAATAATATCATATAATATACAAGGCGTTTGGAAAAGCTGGTACAAAATTTAAGGAGGTGAAAGTAGAGCTAAAAATAGTAAAAAAAGTTCCAATAAATATTGGTCCTCCCGAGCATCGTTCCTACAGTATGGCTCTCCAAAGGGGTTTTATCCTTTGGTGGAAACTTTTAAAAATAACTTTCTGATTTAAGATAATGGAATGAAAATTGTAGGTAATAATCATACCATAAGGATTTAACTGTCATGAGTTTCATCAAAATTGGTTACAAATAAGGATAGTTTTCTAACTACCCTTAACAGAAATTTTTCGATTTTTATTTATTCCTTTGAATTATCAAGCAAATATTATTTTTTAATGAATTAGATCTTTTTGAAGAAAAAAATGTCCCTATTTTTTTTCGAATTCTGCATAGTTTAGTTAGAAATAAATATTTTTTAAATAATGTATGGCTCAGAACACTAGCTTTTTTTAACATTTTCACATAGTAGGCATCTTTCATGGCGACAGTTTCATTGTAATGATACACTTTCGTGTGCAATCATTTCTTACTCAATCAACCATTTCTTACGTTTCTTTACCTTCTTAGTTGTGATCCTTGTGCTTGACTTTGCATTTCATTCGATTTTTCTTACAACCATGAATTATCACATGCTTTCACTAATCGTCGATATGCATTTTATTTATGGTTTCTGTAATGGTCTGACGGGTCAAAAAGAATATCGGCAAAGTTTCCCTGATACAAGAACGATGGAATCAGGAGCCCTAACTCCAAGATATCGTGAATTTGGCCGTCCAAGGAGGCATAGGCATGATTTAGACAAAGTAGGTACTACTGTGAGTATAAGAAGAGCGTCTGCTCATGATGGTTCATGATTGTAAAAGAATGGTTGTTTGGGTGTGGATTGGCATTTATTTTTCCTAAGTACGAATATGCGAGACATTTAGCATCCCATATGAACTAATGGCAGGACGCGAGACATGTGACAAATATGGGACGGTCCCATGAAATACGGGACGGGTGGCAACTTGGGATGTGCAAATACTATCTATTCGTTACTTAGTATTCGATATTTGTAGAGAATCGAAACTACTGATACTCAATTGAAATAATAATCGTTACTAAGTATCGATACTGGAAGTTTACGAGACATAGCACCAAACTATTGGGTCGATACTGTCGGAGTGTCGGTCGATGTCGATAACGCTCGAACTTGATACTCTACCCAGTTTATTATTTTTCTCATTTCTGGGACTTGCATGTAACGACTATATAGACTCCAGTAGCATCTGCTATATAATAGAATTAAGGCAATTTGATCAAGAACCAAATATTAATAGAAAAAGAGATCCATTAAATTGGTGGAAAACAAGGGTGTACCCTAATTTAGCAAAATTGGCCAACAAATATTTAAGTATTGTAGCTACGTCAGTTCCAAGTGAAAGGGTATTTTCCAAAGCTGGCGCAGATATATCAGAAAAAAGGTGTTGTTTGAAACCAAAAAATGCACAGAAAATAATTTTTTTAAATGCTAATAAGCATATTTTATATTAAACATGTACCTAAATATTTTGTTACACTTATTTTGCCAAAGAAGTCTTTAGTTGTTATTTAGTATACTTATTTTTTATATACTTTTTTTTACCAAAATATAAAATATTTTTAATAAATATAGTTTATTTATTTTTAATACATTTTAAGATAAAATGAAATACAATTATTAACGTAAATATAATTCAATTCAACACTGAGAGAAGCCGACGGGTCTTACTCAAATAAATGAGAAATGAAATATATAAGTAATCAGTTGGTATCAATATGTGATGCATACTTACTACTTAGTAGGAACGCGAAAGCAAATTCATAGGAACCGTAAGTATCAAGTATCAGTTTGGGTAACAAATACAAAGTACCAAATACTCATCTGAAAAGTATCAATATCGATTCACTACTTAAAAGTACCGGTATTGCACATGCCTAGTGGCAACCCTGACTGGTACTGATGACGAAAAATCCGTAAATCTTGGCATCGCCAATATAAATGATTCATTTACAATGAATAGTAACAAACCATTACACCTATGCTCGAGATAATGCAATCGCAGATTAGTTGAATAGTATTTCTTGAAAAATTAGACCAATCACAGCTGGTGAAACAGAATGTTGTGTTTTAATGTAATCTTGGTCTTATTGTTTTAATAAATTTAATTGCCAACATGAAGGAAATAAAATTACTGTTCCAAAAAAAATTACTGGTCATGTGGCTTGTAATCATTTATGAAGGCTTTGTATATAGCTGTGTTACTAATTGTCAGTAAAACTAATTTATGTATTAAAATAATTATTTTGACTGTTTTACAAAATACTAATCTGATAGGTTTGAAATATTTTTTAAAATCGTGAGGTTTTTAATAAAAAGTATTTGTTACGGGTATTTCAAAGCACTATGTGAATCTCCATGTGAATGACCTGTGACACTGAATTGATTTACCACATGACTAAGTAAACTACATACCTACTATCAGTCCATCTAATGTGATATGACAATAGGGTGCTAGGTGGGCAGCAAGCAAACGGTCAACATTATTTTATATCTAAATATTCCATAAAAACGGGCTGTAGTAATACTTTTCTAAGAGGGCTCTGTTGCAACTAGGCAACCAGCGATACATTTTATTACAGTTTGTCTAAATATGAATTAATACAAATAACAGACTTTCCTCCATTCTAATGCAGATTTTCTATAAAATGGACTCGGATTGAAATTACAAATTTCCTTACAACAAAAATTAATTTGAGTCAAACTAACTCTATTTTATAGAAACTCTGTGTTAGAATGAAGGAAAGTCTATTATTTGCGCATTGATTCATAGTTAGACAAACTCTGTAATAAAATCTATAAAAATGTATTGCTGTTTGCCTATTTGCTATGGAGCCCAGTTAAGTTTTACTTATTAAAATTTATTACTGTGATGGTTATTAAAAAATTAATATTTTGGATGGATATTTCTACGAAATATTCGTATTTATAAATTTTGAGAGATCATAGGATGATTAGGAATTAAATTAATTTACATTAACCTTTACTATTGTGACTGGTATTATAGCAATTTTTTATTATTTCTAGAATGTTAGAGATAGTTTTAGATTTTCTTGGAGTAATACAGAATGTTGAGTATTCCCACTGTTTTTCAGATTAAATCTGCTGAATTGGTGAATTGTTCTAACAATGCATCTAATGTCATGAAGCAGTATGACAATCAAAATAATAAACAGCACTCATCGACCATTGAGAAGGGAAATCGATATCGCAGCTACTACACACCACTTTCGACCATTGAAGAAAAAACCAAAAGCCCATGTAAGAAGAATTGATTTGAAAATGTTACCAAGTAAGCTGCTATAAACATTTTTTCTTTTTTAAGGACTTATTTATCCATGTTGTAAGCGTTTTTTTTACAATGAATGTCTACATTTTTGTTTTATTACTGTTTTACTAATTTATCGTTGGTCTAAATAGAAATCGTGCTTGTGGCACAAGAATTAAAGTTCTTGTGTTGCAGAAAATTTTAAATTTGTTTTAGCTTGCATGTATGTAAAGACGCTTACAAAGACATTTTTATTTTAATGTCTAGTTGTCTGAAAATTTATATACAACAAAAAAAAATTAAAAGCGATATAATTTTATAAAAAAAAAAATACAAAGTTTTAAAAACAAGAAAAAAAAATTATAGTATGTTTTAAATGTTAAAAATAAGTGTCCTTCACATATCTGGTATTTAGTGGTTTATAAGTAACTTTAAGATTTGTCTAATGTCTTGAGAATCATCACTGTTTTTGTATATACATTTTTACGAGACTAGTCGTTACTTCCTTTTGTTACCATATGATGGCAGTTTCTATGAATAATTAAATAAATTGCATTACTACAAATATTTGTTTTATTCTTTTACATTCCTTTGCTTGTAATTAAATAGTGCATATACCTAACATCTGCTTTACATTAGGCAATTTCGCATTTTCAAATTCAGCGACGGCTAGTGAAAAAAATTTGAGTTGTCTTATTTCGATAATGAAGCATGGATTTAGACGATGATTTCTATATTTGCATAGGGAACTTTTGTAAGAAAATTTTTTAATCTAATTACAAAGTAAAACTAAAATAGGAATTCTTGACCTTCAGATCTTAAAAAGGGTTCCACATACACTTGCTTGCAAATTATTTTCATAACACAGCCACACACAAAAAAAGTTGTACTTTTCATGTGACATTTCTGTAGTATTTTTTCCTGCTGATCACGAATCCGGTGTCAGAATTGAGCTATCACATCTCAGGAATTTCCTAACCTCAAAAAACAGGTCAAAAATTCACGAAAAAGTGCTAGGAAAAATACAAAAATTGTTTTTCTATATTCAAATGTTCATTTATATGGTTATTAAGAACCCGCTTAACTTGAATCCGCGGTCAAAATTGATGGTTCCTTTTCTAACCTCAAAAAGACAGGCAGATCAAATATGGCCAACCAAATTTTCAAAAAATAACATTCGGGCCAAATTTGGGATACGGGGGTTTTCGGGGTCGCTGATTACGGATATGAGTCAATTTTGCAACATTTCAAGATGGCCGACCAAGTTTTCAAAAAATAAGATTCGCGCCAAATTTGGTATACGGGGTTTTCGCCGGGGTCGCTGATTACGTATTCGGTGTCAGAATTGCGAAATTCATTTTGTAATATTTTTGCTTCCTTAATAACATAAGTACCCAATCATGTTTTAACCTTCTTTTTTTTGGCTATATCTTGTTCTTTTTCTGTAAAAGATCTATTCACGGGCTTTCTGCCTAATCTCAGGTAATAAAGTACATAGGTAATTGATTAAATTTTTACAAACGAATTTTATAAATCTGATTGTCGAATTTGTGATCAGTGACCCCGAAAACCCCCGTATATTGCATTTGGGGAGAATGTGTTATTTTTTGAAAATTTGGCCGGGCACCATCTTGAATTTTGAAAAATTCATCTCGAATTCGTGATTAGCGACCCCGAAAACCACCTTATACCAAATTTGGAACGAATCTGCTATTTTTTGAAAATTTGATCGGCCATCTTGGATCCCCCATCTTGAATTTTGCCAAACTGACCTCAGATCCGTGATCAGCGACCCTGAAAACCCCTGTAGGTATACCAAATTTGGCGCGAATCTGTTATTTTTTGAAAATTCGTGATATCTGACCTTAATTGACCCGTTTTTTTAGGTTAGAAAAAGAACCACGAATTCTGACCGTGGATTCACGTTCGGCGGGGTTTTAACCATATAAATGAACATTTGAATATCGAAAAAAAAATTTTTTGTACTTTTCCTAGCACTTTTTCGTGAATTTTTGTTATTTTTGACCTGTTTTTTGAGGTTAGGAAACTCCTGTGATGTGATAGCTCAATTCTGACACCGGATTCGTAGTCAGGAGGCAAAAATACTACGGATAACATATGTCGCATGAAAAGTGCAGACAACTTTTTTTTGTGTGTGGCTGTGTAATCAATTGGTAGATACAAATCGTCGTTGATTTTGTAAATGGGCGTAAGCAACATAAAGAAAATCGACTTCTTTTCAAATTAAGCCCTTACATACCTCAAAAATTTCGCTTTTAATAATTTTTGTTCCTTCCTCCCTTGCATTATCGACGAAACGTACTACATAAATTTCAAATTTCATGATGCTGCAACCCAATAAAAATAAAGTTTTGTAAAAAAAAGAAACAATAAAAAAAAAGTTATTTAAGACCGTAGATCAGCTATATTCGTAGAGAGAAATTAATCACCGTCTCTGCGAGTATGGTAGGCTGGAAAAACGTTAGCTTTGGTCAATGTGAGAGATTAATACCGGTCGGCATTTGGCTACTCCCCTATTTAATGAAATTTTTCCTAATTCCTGCACTGAATGATGGTTAGGGCTTATTAACATAACTCATTCCTAGGCAGGCATGCGGCCTACTGAATAATAATATGCCGCCCCTTCGTCCGCACAAGTTTCCGATCTCTGGGCTAATCCTTGCCATTAGAATGAGGAGTAGACATATTATTATTGCAACCCTTATTTTAATTTTTTTCCTTTACAAATTTGTTCAAAAAAATTTTGCCACTATAATTTTCTGTGCAAACTTAAAAATTCTCCTTCTGGTCTCAAGCTTCATTATCAAAGTATGGCCACTTTAATTTTGTCTGTCACTACCCAAATTCTATTTTTACTTTAAAGCTTATTGATATTTCTCAAAATAATAATAAATCTTCATCATAAATAAATTCATCGATTTATTCATAAAAGGTCATTAACATTAACTACCACCACCTGCAAGCAAATCATAGTAAATAAAAACAATTGAAAATGAATACATCTTCATTTGCTTGTGGACAATAAGCTGCATGCGAAATATGAACAAATACAATTCAGCTGCTTTCCTTAATAAAAAAAAAAATCGATTTTTTTTCTCAAATTTTAACACCTTACATATCGAAAATGAAGCATTCTTGGACACATATTTATAGGAACTCTTTTTGTTAAAGCTGTTGAAGCAATTAAAGTATTAAGAGGGCTCTATAGCAAATAGGCAACCAGCAATACATTTTATAGATTTTATTATAGTCTTTCCGAAGTCAGTTGAACATGTAAAAAACGGATGGCAATAAAATTTAATGTATAAATTTGATATATAAAGTAAAAATTATAATAATTTGCATATAATGTGCAGAAAATTTCTATTATATGTTCATTTGGCCAACAACATATTTTAATTATTTATGTCCTCAAACAATTTGTCATGTTGTAATAATATTATTTCTCCCTTTCGCAATTGCAATATGAATGTCTAATAGAAGGTGCTTATAATAAATTGAAATTACCTGAATCACACCAAATTCCACATTGCTACACTGCACTGCTGGGCAATTTGTCAACCACTTGTCAACAGCTGAAATCTATTGCCCAGTGGCCCAATGCAGCTGTCTTTGTATTTCGTTTGTCCGCGCTCACATTCTTCAACTGAGCGTATACATTTCTACCACGTCCACTTTTAGTTCGACCAGACCTGTATATGGGTATGGCTAAATAAATAAGGGAACAAGTCTTTCAAATATTTCAATACCGAGTTGCTGCGTCAGCGACCGAACCTGGTACATACTGTCAACCTCTTGGTTATTCAATTGATATCGGGAAGACTATACACAGTTCGTCCAAATATTAATTAATGCACAAATAACAGACTTTCCTCCATTCTAACGCAGATTTTCTAACTCAAATTACTTTTTGTTGTAAAGAAATTTGTAATTTGCCGCTGTTAAACAAGAGGCCTCTTAAATTACAAATTTCTATACACCAAAAAGTAATTTCAGTTTCAAACTAAGTCCACTTTATAGAAAATCTGCGTTAGAATGGAGGAAAGTCTGTTATTTGTGCATTAATTCATATTATTTAGACAAAGTGTGTAGTAAAAATCTATAAAAATGTATTGTTGGTTGCCTATTTGCTATAGAGCTCTCTTAAGTAAGTTATTAAAGCTTGGCCAAGTATTTTAATTATATTTTGTATTATATCTATACAATAATAAAAACATATTTTACATTTTATTTCTTGAACAAAAAACTGTTAATGTTGCCTCTTATATACAAAAATATGACACTAGTCAAAACTGAATTTAAGAAAAATCTTTTTTTTTTCCTAGGAATTATGCAACCATTTAATTTGAAAAACTATTTTCTTTTTTAACATCGTTTTCTTTATTCTCTTAATAATAATTTTCAAAAAACAATTGAACAAACAAACTTACGATTTTTTTAAATTAAACATCCTGTATTATATTATATTTTGTTAGAACGCTTTCTCAGAATTAGCAATATGGCAAATATGATGAAAAGGACAAGAATTTGATTCATCTAATTGCATTAATGTCGTTTTAATTCACAAATATATATATATAGCGAAACTGTATCACAAAATTATTTAAAATTATTTTCTTGGGTCACTGTGTACAACCATAAAAAATGAACAGTTGTCTACATTTTGAATTAGCATCTACAGCGGCACCTTTGAGGTAGGTGCTAAAACTTAATAGCTTACTCACGCTCATTAAACTTTCGTTCAGTGTTTTGTGGTAGATGGCGGTAGATGAACTGGACCTTCAAATTTTGCGCAACTAACTGGAAACTTTATTTTTTCCTACCACTTATTTCTAAGAACTATCGGGACTAAGTACAATCGATTAATAGATGGCGAAGCTAGCTAGTTCTGAAATATATAAACAAGCTGATAAAACCCACTAAAGATGTCGTGTGCTTGCCGGTAAACAAATAGTATTATAGAACGGGGTGACAGCTGTCAGTAGCATAAATTGTGCGCGCTCTGTATAAACGGTGCAAGAGCGGTTTATCTTTAAAATCGTTATACCCGCGTAATTATATTTATTCTGAAAGTATATTTCACCTGCATTCGGTTCATACCTTAGTAGAGTTATGTTTTACAATTTTTCTGGATCGCGTTTCATTTAACTTAGTTTAAAAATGTCCGAACGGAGATTCAAAGTGTCTAAATCTGAAGACAGTAACAGCTATAAATACAGCGATAGTTTAGACGATGAACGTGCCACTGAAAAATTACTGCCCTCCAGCGACAGCAGGCTGGAAGCCACACCTTTCAAAGGTAAAATTATTACAATTATTTTTTATATCCGCACATACCTATCTCCGTTTTTAAACGGAAGTAGTTGGTAACATTTACGTTGTGGAGTATTTATTTCGTATTACAAACATCCGCACTTCTACCCTGTTTTCTGAAGGGTTGAAACGGGCTACATGCGCGTTTTCACGTACTTACCCTGTCTACCTTTATGTAGTTAAAGGTTAACAGGTTAATACGCTAAGCCCATAAAGGCATTCTTTTTATATACCTCACTTTAAAACTGAAAAATCTACCTATATACTAAATGTTTAACTGGAGCATTTTATAAAATGATTTCTGACTTTTACAGTCGTCCGATTTTTTTTGCGTAGTAGATACATTTTAAATTTTTTTTTGCAATTTCGAGCTCAAAAATATTTTTCATGTATTTAAAGCTACTGGGTGTATATAATATTTTTATTTAAACAAGCAAGTAACATAATAAATAATGACTAAATCGATAAATTAATGATTCCGTACGTGTAATGTTTCAAGAATATATGTACGAGACAAGCATTGTCATCACTTTTATGAATTTTAATTATTCATTTCATTACTGCTATAGCTTCAACTGGCCTCATTATTTGAATTTATTGAATGAAAATTCCTTATATCGATATCGATCTACAGTGTTCCGAATTTTCAGAAAAAAAATATATATATATATATATAGAAATTAGAACTCACTCAAAATTATATAGGCCAGGAAATATAGAGTTGGACGCGACTTTTTGTTTCGGCAAGCTGAATTTATCACTATAGATGCTAAATATTGTGTACAATAACATATTAGTTTCCACAGTCATAAAAATGGGGGGAAGATTGTTTACAGGCTGGTTAATTATATAATTTTTACGTTAATTCACGTTTTTCGATTATAACTTTTTTCCGTTCATTTCCACGAGAAAACAGTAATGTACTTTTTTTTCGCCTTCAAAAGACCTACAAAACTTGCCCTCGAGCGTCAAAAAATATTGATTAGATCAAAAGTTATAAACAGAAGACATTTTTTATGACTTTTGAATTAAACATTTATAAACTGCGTTATTATTACCAGAACGTTTTGGCATCGCATCCTCTCATTCCTTCTCACTGTCTAATAATTTACATGAAATCTGGAATCGGTAGGTTGAATAGTTTACAAGTTATGGCCTTATAAACATTTATTAGTCGGGACGCACTGATTTTTTCATGGTAGATTTTATAATAATACATTGAAATCTACCATTGTTTTTTTTTAAATTTCAAATTTGAAACCTGGAGTTTTTTTATTTTTTACCCATAATTGCAAAATGAAATATACGACGCACGCGCCTGATATAGTTATATATTATTACATTCGGAAAGCTTATGAAGAGCTTTAAGTTAAAAAAAAAATCGTCAAGATTCGTTGAAAAACAACGGAGTTACAGACTGTCAAAGTTGACGGCATATTGTTAAACAAATTAGGCTGGTAGCGGCAAAAAAATACTGTCATAACCCGAGTACTTTCCCAGATAAAAATAAGAAATATTGTCAAAAGTCAGTGGGTCTGTAATATAAAACTTTCCAGGTTGCAAATTTGAAATTAAAAAAAAAATGATAGATTTCAATGTATTATTATGAAATCTACCATGAAAATCAGTGCGATTGTGGAAGATGCTCGGGATCATCCAGACTAATAATTAATTAATTTGTTTATAAGGCCATAACTTGTAAACTATTCAACTTACCGATTCCAGATTTCGTATGAGTTATTAGACAGTGATAAGGAATGCGAGGATACGATGCCAAAACGTTTTGGTAATAATAATATTTAGCATCTATAGTGATAAATTCAGCTTGCCGAAACAAAACGTCGCAAAATGGTCATTTCCCAGCTCTTTTTCCTGGCCTATATAGTTCATTCGGCCTATCAGCCTTGTTATTTTTCTTTCGCGGTCAATTTTTGAAAATTAACATTTTTTTAGAAATCTAACAACACACTTTTATTCAGGGCGTAGGTATACTAAATTGTGACCGAAAAATTCCCTGATGTTTTCAGGTAAATAATAATAAAAAAATAGTTTGCCAAGATGTAAGCTCTATGTCAGTTTCGGTTTTTCAATTTTCACGGTTACCTAAATTTCTGGTCGTATCTCGCCGTAAATATTTCACAAAGTATGACTATTTAAAAAACTATACAGTTTCCACGATAAAATTTGCATCAAATATGGAACAATTTTATTTATGATTTAGAAGAAACTTTTTCTTGCAGTATGTACTTTTTGCTTGTTTGAAAACTAAATAAGGACAATCTAGATGTACAAAGAAATTTTCCGTTTAGGGGAAAACGGCATAAATTTAATCAGCTAAAGTCGAAAAAATATACATTTTTTGGCTGAAAAAAAAAATACTGAAAAGTTTATATTGTGCAGAAAAAATGTTAAAATTGTCTTTAACTTTGATTTGTATCCGACTGAAAGAAATCTTGGACCATTATGATCTAATTTTTTGTATGTTTCACGAAAACAACTGCATTTTTCATATTGATGTCAAATTTGATTTTATTTAAAAAATAAATCAATGTTATTAACAGAGTCGAAGGTTCAAGAATTTTTTCAATCGGGCTACAAGTAATGCAGTTACAACTCATTTTTAAAAAGATATTTTCAATATTTTCTAAACTAAAATAATATAAACGCATTCTTAATAACCAACGACACAAATGATACAAATAGAGCTGTAAAATCAGTTATAGTTTTCATATTGCGGGTTTCTGGGTTTGCCTAAAAAAATATGTTTAAACTTCACTCGTGTTTTAGTTACTATGTTAATGGCTCTGTACACCTGTAAACCGGGACGCACTGTAAATAAATTAATTACCATGTTCCATTTTCTACATTTATTATTTTTTTAGTATAATACTTTGCGGTGGTTTCAAATGAATTTATTTGCTTTGAGATAATTAAATTTTATAGGATGATTGCTTCTAATTTTGCAACTCCTGTCGGGATATTAGACATTATTTTTTTGAGGTAAATTTATGACCACTATTGATTGATTATATTTGCCAAATAAGATAACTTTTGTGGTACTAAATACCGCCAATAAAATCAGCAAATAACATCGGGATACCCTGCATACAGCCTATAACCGTGGTTGGTTACTGTTTGCTGAGAACGATTTAATTAATATAATTGCAACCGTTTACCTCAATTATACATAAAATACATTTTCATCCCTGACCTGAATATTATAAAATTGTGAACAATTCACTTTCCACGTACTGGGCTGTATCGGTAACACTTCGCTTTAAAAATATGGCTTCTGTGCCTTTTATAAGCCTATGCCGACATTAACGCTTTATTTAATTGATAGGTAAGCAAACAATTGCTGTGTTGACAGAATAAACAGGTTTCTTTGGCACCAGCAAGGCATAATAAATAAAACATTTCTTTTGTTCGGTGGACCGCATGGGAAATATTTCCAATGGCAGTTTTTTTTCGCTAAATATATTTCCAATAACTTAACAGTAAATTTGCACCTGTGGGAAAATAATTATGCTGGCAACTTTTTTGATTGAGATACCTCTTGCATATTTATATCTTTTGCAATAATAATAGGGAAATGTTGGTTTGGAAAATACGTAATTGTTTTGGTTCGGTATCTAGAATTAAAACAAGGAAAGATGGGAAAAACATGCCGATGTTCTCAACAGTTAGACTTAGATTTATGTAATGATAACGAAATTAATTTCGGTATGAATTATAAAGGAACATTCAACAGATCAAGATTCACAGGATCATAGAGTACTATCCTTATTTTTCTAAGTTTCTGAGAAACAGCTTGGCTGTAGAGAAGTCCGTCAACCCCATCGTATCTAAAAGTCTCTTAACTTTTACCCTTAAAATTTACCCTCAATTTCCCTTACAAACACCAATTCTTAGAATCGGAGAACCTCGTATGTACAAATATATATATTCATATTCACATTTCGAATATATTGTGCAGAATCCAATATATAAAGGAAATCTTCAGCTAAGGCCAATATTAACATGTCAATTTCAGGCTAGGATACCTTATAACCGGATTTTCACCAATTTTATGAAGGAAATTATAATACGCTCTGACACGCGTTCAAGTGGGTGGCAAAAAATCTCAATCTACCTCAAATTATTTGGCTCAGTTTGTGAGATCTGGCCTTAAAGGAATATGCAGTGAAATTCTTTAATTACCTGTGAAGTAAGCGCTTGCGATTTTAATGCGAAGGTACATATTTTATTACCAATTACATTTAATTGATATTACGTAATATTAGTTGATGCTTCCCTAATTGCCTTATTTTTATCCCAGCCACGGTGATTTCAAAAGGTATTGCACAAATAAGAAGTGAACACTAATTATTTTCTAATTAATCATCATTAATCTAAAAACTTTGTATACCACTGGATATTTCTTAATATCATACGTTGAAATTAATGGTAGCGAGTTTGTAATACTTGCATAGAGTAAATTTAAACCTGACAAACATAAAAAATTAACATGAATCCTAAACCTTGTTATGCACATATGTGTAGTGGATCTTTTTGTGATGGCAACTGAAACTTGTTATAAAACCAATTATTATTAACATGTGATACCTACATAACAGATTTTTAGTTTTTCAATAAGTCAGTACAGAAAAACATATTCCATCACTGCTGAAATGTAAAATGATGTTATTGGGTTTGACTTATGGTAAAAATAAATTTATATCTGTGCGTCTCTTAAATCTTAAAAAAAAAGAAATGGAAAGAAAAGAAATGGAAAGAAAAGTAAACTCGGTAGCGCTAAATATGTATATACTGAAAATTCTGAAAAAATTAACTTTCTTTCGATGTTTTCAGTTGACGATCAATCAGACTACAATAAATATTGCAAATACTGCAGGAACATTTTCCAGACTATAAATATTTACACTTCACTGACGTGTCTTGACAAAAACGGTCTGATAAACAGATTGATTAGTTCTATTTATAATT